AACACTTCTCAATATATATGCACCCAATCAGGGAGCACCAAAATAAATGTGCCATTTCACATTTCTACCGGGAATGTCTGAGGGTTCTGATTTCTCCACATCCTTGCCAACGCTTGTTATTATCTGACTTTTTGATTATAGCCATCCTACTGGGTGTAAAGTGGTATCTCATTGTAGTTTTGACTTGCATTTCCCTAATGGCTAATACGTTAAACTCTTGTCATGTGCTTATTGCCATCTGTATATCTTCTTTGGAGAAAAGTCTCTTTAGATCCTTTGTTCATTTTTAAATGGTTGCTTATAGAGTTGCGGCAGAAGAACCTAGCAGGGAGCACTATTTAACCACTGTGAAAGTGCTTGTAAGAGAAAAGCTGATAATTGTCAGCCACCAGTCCCAGAAAGGGCAAAGCATTCTGCAACAGTTTCTGTCAGCTGAGGACTCTGTACTCATTTCTGTAACACATTTTTTTTTTTTTTAATCCTCACCTCAGGATATTTTTTCCCATTGCTTTTCAGAGATAGTGGAAGGGGGAGAGAGAGAGCTAGAGAGAGAGAAACACCGATGTGAGAGAGACACATTGATTGGTTGCCTCCTGACCGGACAGGGCATTGAGCCTGCAATGTGCCCTTTGCCAGAACCGAACCCGGGACCCTTCAGTCCACAGGCGGACGCTCTAGCTGCTGAGCCAAACTGGCTAGGGCCATGTATTCATTTCTTTTCTGCCACTGAACCCAGAGACCAGGAGCAGCTAGTCAGAGGAGGATAGGATTTCACTGATTTTTTTTAGAGAGAGAGGAAGGGAGAGAGAAAGAAACATCAATGTGAGAGAGAAACATTGATCAGTTACCTCCTTACTGGTTGCCTCCCATATGCACCCCAAATGGGGATCAAACCCACAACCTAGGTATGCGCCCTAACGGGGAACTGAACCCACAACCTTTTGGTGTACTGGTTGGTGCTTCAACCAACTGAGCCACTCAGCCAGGGCTTGTCCAATCCTTTTTAATGCACTAGAGGAATGATATCATACAGATATGTCACCAGGAAAACAAATTATGTTCCTTAGTTATGGGATAATAGAGTATTTTGATTTTATTTTTGTACATATCTGTATTTTTCAAATTCTCAACAGGAATATCATTTATAAACCAGAAAGAAGTTATTTTTAAAAGAAATATTCTTAAAGAAAATATATTCACATTTAAAGTTTTTTATAAACATGAAATATGCTTGGAAATAAAAATTCTTAAAAAGTTTTTCAATATACATGAATATACCATTCTTTATCTTGGTAATTTATTCATCAGAATTCACTGATTTATTGCTATATGGCAAATAATGTGCTAGGTCCTGAATGTACTGTTTTAACAAAACAGACATGATTCCTGCGCTCATGAAGGCTACATCTAGTGGGAAAATGACAGTGAACAGGCAAACAAAGTAGTAAATAGAAATGCAATTACAAGTTATAAAGAGTGCTTTGAAAGAACACCATTTATACTATAATGGAGAATAATAGTGGGGTAGAGCCAACCTACTTTGATATAGTGGTCAGGGAAGGTCTCTCTAAGGCACCAACATTTGAGCTGAGGCTTTGGAACTAGATAGACATATAAGTATTGGTTTTAGATATTTGTGTCCAAAAATTCAATGTTGTAAAATATGAAGTTAAGTCCCTGTACAGCTAATGAAATGCACAGAAGAGGCTGCAGTGGTCCCACTGTGCAGCCAAATCCTGCCCCGTCCAAGCTGCAGTTGTCTGCTCCAGGTTAAATATCCATGAGGATGATTCTAAGTGCCTCTGGCAGGCTGGGAGTTCCTTGGCAGAAGCAGCTATTCCAGGAATTTCCATTTAGCAGATGCCTTTTTTTGTCAGCCTGATGGGGAAGGTTGGGCCAAGAGAATATTGATGATTCAAAGCCCTACCCTTGACTTGCCACTTCCTGGGATGGTGCGCCTTGACATTTCCCTTCGTGGGCTCAGTCTGTCTTTCACTTACCCTGTCTGCAAACATAAGATCTCTAGCCCACTTGTGATTGAGAATGAGGGCTAGACAAAGAACCTAAGTCAATACAGTTGAATGTGGGTTACTTGTTGCAGTATATGTTTTGGCTGTTACTGGATTACCCAATATCCATTTCCTGTTCTTAGGAACAGAACTCAAAATTTGTTTAGAAGGCAATGTGACCAACTGAATTACATGCTTCCCTGAACTCTATTGCAAGAAGGCATGGTAAGGTGGGATGTTGTTTGACCAATAAGGTGCCAATTAAGGGATTTGGGGAAAGCTCTGTCCTAATGACATAGGCAACACCCATTTCAGCTTCCTTTTACATCTTGCTCCCTAGAACTTGGAGGTGAGGCTGGAAACAAAGCAATAATTTGAAGTCTATGAGAGAATCATGATGATGAATACTGTATGTGAAGGTTGGGGATGCATTAAGATAGAAGAAAGGTAGGCAATTACAACATGGTGGAATGGCTGTCCCAACCTGGGTGGACCTCCTCCAGATTTCTACATGAGAAAGTCGTCTTTTTTGACTGTGGTTAGGCTTTTATTATGTATAACCAACTGAAAACCTAACCAATACAGCTGTGTACCATGAGCATAAAGATTAACATCTTTTGGAGAACCCGAGTTTTTTAAGGTTTTAATGTAAAAGGGCAACTCTCATCATGTTTAATAAAAGAAAATTCATAGCATTCCACACCTAATCACCTACGCTAGAGTGGTCAGTAAAGGATATTAAACAGGGATAGCACAAAGAAGCAGCTTTGCAGAGGGATTCGTTTAATGGCACCTTACCAAACAAACATATATTCCAGGTAAAACTGGGCCTGCTGTGTAAACATACTTCTAGAGAAGTTCCTTGGTGCTCCCTTTCAATAAGATTGCATCCTTGAAATCCTCCTATATGGGAATTCTGTCACAGCACAACTTCCAGGGCAAATCTGCCCACAGTTAAAGTTTAGGGTTCATTATGGCATAAACCTTTTAAATTTGAAGCAGGTACATTAAAGTGATGTGGTTCAAAAAATGATATAATTTCCCCCCTTCTTTTGCTCCAGCAGGTTTCTACTCTAAATCTCCCTTACCGCTACCTTACAACAACGCCTTACCCTCCAACGCAAAGCCCTCAAATTATGCTCACAGAATTCATTATCCTTCAGGGTAGATGCAGCCACCATTCAAAATAATATAAGCCTTTGTACAGAAAGTCTAGATCAGATAAAACAACATATTAATAAGCCAGATTAGAGGAAGGGAAGAAGAGAATTCTACTAGTTTTCTACAGGGTGTCCCAAAAAATGTATACACACTTTAATAGCTGATAGCTCAAGTTTGAAAATAAAATGTATTTTAATATACACTGTCTTTATAATTATTCAAAGTGTGTTTATACATTTTTTGGACACCTTACATATGCACTCTTACCCATGTGAATTACATCTTTTTGCATCCTAACATGAAGAATGTAGATTGTTTATATTATTGAAAATGAGATAATGGCCTTTCAAGTAGGAACAGCACCACAACAAATCTAAACTATATAATTTTTTTTTTTTTTTTTTTTAACAAAAATCCCAGAACCAAAACAGGGACAGATTTCCACATAAAAATCTATGTGAGGTCAACTAAAGTTACATATATTTTTTCATTTCAGAACATAATTATTCCATAAAATTTCCTCATACCTAACATTTCCCAATGAAGCTTTAGAAAAGTAATAAAATTCAGCTAGGAATGATCATAATTCAGGCAAAGGCTCTAAGTAAATGATTGTTTTTCTAACGGTTAAATTCTTACATGTCAAATTACCTGTTTCAGAGAACATTAAAAAAAAGGGGGGGGAGGGAGTAATTCCCCCGCTCTTTTTCTTTACACAGGCAAGGACAATCAGCAGGAGGCAGCCTGGAATTTTCAGAGACCCTGAGCATCACCGAGACAAAGGTGTAACACACAAACATGTAATGCACAGGTGTCACACACAAACATGTAATGCACAGGTGTCACACACAAACATGTAATGCACAGGTGTCACACACAAACATGTAATGCACAGGTGTAATACACAACGTCGGCGGCCCGCTTCCTCCAAGGCAATTCAAGTTTTGGCGAACAAGGTGCTCAGCTCCCTGTTTCAACCTATCCTAGAGGCATAACCGTGGAACATTACGATGGCCGTCTTCACCAGCAGCGTTTGATAAGTGATGAAAACCTGGACATAAGTCATCGTTTTGCCAATTAGAGCCGCAGCGCCGCCCCTGTAGGGGCTCCGGGCTCGGAGGGGTGGTGCGGACCCCTCTGGGCGCTCCCGCGGTTCGCGCGCGCAGGGGGCGGGAGCGGGGTCTGTGCCGCAGACTCGCGGCTTCACTCCCCAGCCGGCGCCCGAGCGCCGCGCTCCCCTCACGCCGCTGGGTTTAAATCAGTACAGGCGGCAAACCACACCCATGCTTTGGGCTCCCAAGTTTGAAAGGCAGAGACCCTGTGGCGCAGGAAAGTTCCTCACGGCTGGTTTTCACGTCCAGCCCTGTCGCTGGAGAGCGCCTCCGCACGCTGGTGCGCCCGGGGCGGTCCACCGAGCGGCAGGACAGACAGCTGCCCGGCGCCCCCTCGAACTGAACGCCCGGGACCCTGCGCGAGGCTGCAGGTCCGCCCCTCCTGCCGGGGACCCGCGGCCAGAGCCCGCGTCCCCACGGGCAGGGCGCCCCGAGACCCAGGGGAGGACTCGCGTCCTAAAGGGATGTCTCCCAGCGCCCAGACAAAGACAGCGCTGGGAAAAGTTGGACCAACTGGCATCTCCGGGAGGCGAGCGGAGCAGCCCCTCGGCCTCAGGGACCCAGCGGGCGACGCGCGCTCAGAGTCGCAGCCAACTTTTCCCGGGAGCTTCTGAGCAACTTGCGGGAAGTTGGGGCGAGAGGGCAGCAGAGGGAGGGTCAAGGGCAGCGCGGGGAGCCGGCTCGCCCCCGCCGCCGCCGCCGCGCACCCCGCGAGTACCTGCTGATGTAGCCGTCGCCGTCGCCGTCGCACGTCTGGAAGAGGCGCCGCATCCGCTCCTCCTCGCCGGTGC